CCGTTATGCTTCTCAATCTTGTGCTCGCCAAGGGTTGGCCACAATGTCGCGCCTTCTATTATCTAGGTTACCCTGGACGCGCAAAGCTGGAATCCTTTTCGTTTTCCCAAGACTAAAATCCCTACATTCGAGATGATAAGTTACTCAAGCTTGTTTACACTCTCCTAACCTTCATGTATGCAAATAGCGCAGCCTGGTGTCCTGTCGTACAATCTGTGGCGAACAAGTTGACGCTTGATATGGCTGCTGGGAATACTCATTAAGGCAACATCTTCGTGCAACTGCACTCTGAAATATTAGGTTGATGCATATGTTTTTAACCTCGACTTTTTTTAATAAGCGAACCAGCCTGAAGATTAGAGGTATGCACCATCACCATCCACTACTCGACGCCAGCGCTCAGGCAGCTTGTCGATTCCATCCTTCCAGAACGACGGGGGCTGGGACTTGAAGAAGTCGTCGAGTGCCTTTCTGACCTGATCCTTTGTTTCGAACTTTTTTCCGTCCAGAGAGCGCTGCAGGTGGCTGAACAGCCAGTAGTCAGAAGGAGCGAGGTTGAGGATGTAGGGGGTGGAGGGTGGGCGACCATCAGCCATCCCTATTTCTCCAGCTGCTCAAACTCACGTTATCGACCAGGTATGCCCCAATTTACCACAGAACGGAGGTTACTTTCTGAAACAACTTACCGAGAATATTATCCCAACAATGCTGAGTCATGGGCAAAAGTCGTGCCCCAGGAGGGAGACGACCTCCCCTTCAACGCTTTCCGGGCAGTGAGTAACAGATAGCGCACTGGCCCGGAAAGCGTGAGGTGCGGGGTTCGACTTCCGCCTGGAGCACGACTTTTTCCCATGACTCAGCATTCTTGTGATAACATTCGGAACGCGTACTGCGGCGTTAAACAGCAGTTATCTTAACAAAACAGCTCCAAAAATCACCGAGAATAGTTCCTGCGCATAGCTGGAGGTTACGACAAGCTTCATTTTACTACTGGGTGTGTCCGCCCAGGAGGTTTCTTGCGGATCTATGGTAGACGCAGAAAATAAACATTCGAAGAAGGAGATCGTATTTTGCGAAGATGACATCTTTTCGCAGACTTTTGTCAGAAGCTTTGTCGAGCTTCAGTATTAATAGTTTTCATTGACCCCATTTTGTCATGGATATACGGCGCAGCTTGATATCGTAATAAAAAAAGCTTTGTGCGGGTGGTGCTCGAACTCTTCCAGGGAGTTGCATTGTTTCTCGTTCAATGAATTTCCTAGAGGACGAGACAATGGCGGTTCTATAGTTCAGGGTCCTAATTATGCTATCAATTGGAAAGAGTTCCAACCGAGTTGTTATCTTTTTCACAAGGTGGCCAAATTAGATATGGCCGGTCCCTCCGCATCCTGGTGAAGTACATAACTCTCTTATTTTGACCGAATTTGTCCCGCTGCTTCCTTATCCTTTCCTTGTCCTACTTGAATTCGATGTGTAGCTTTCGGAGCAATTGTATTGTTATGTGGCACCAGCTCGAATAAAATAAAACCTTTCTCTTCCTTGACCATAAAGTATAACTCCCTCCACGTAAACACTGGCTTTTGGGGTAGTTCGTGAATACCCTCATTGAAACTGGGATTGCTTAATCATTTTTACTCTATGTTATCACAGACATCTCATTTCTAAGTCGGGTAATTACCAGTCACTTTTAACATCAAATCTCGCATGAAGATACGGCTCAACGAAATCAGCTCATTTAATTCGTAGGTTACTCAAGCATCAAACTGCAGGAACGGTGTAATTCGTAGGTTACCCGAGAATCAACTGCAGGAACGATGCGTGATGATCCATCAAAACGTGAAAGATTACGTCAGAGAGGAAGTGGTACCCGAGGCCAACATTGTAACAGATCCCTAGCGGCAAGTTGCAAAGGAGGCGCTGTTAAAGCGCAATTTGTTTTCAGTAACACCCTCCCTTTTTCCAGGCAATCGCAGATGGCCCTGTGCTGGTCACTGTCATAGAGCTATAGAGAATCAGCTGAGGGGATTCATAGCTGACAGTACGTACGAGACCTCTAATAACTTCTGTTCCATATTACAACAACCTGAATTTCGTATCCCGGAGGCAGAAAGCCTCAAAGTCAAATCACATTCCATCGGGCCGTCGTGATTGACTTCTGCGATTACGTGGCTTCGTTTTTTGTTGGAGCGAACATTGTTAGCAATGAAAATCAGCAGGAGCCTTACTCGTGTAGGAAATTTGGTTTTTCGAGATTTCAAAAATCTGCCTCATGAAACAAGACTTAACCCCTTTTCTACGCATACCAAATTACTTATTTCTTTCTCGGCGCCATAGCAACCCTTTCACCTTTGGCCCTTTCGTACAGGTAGAAAGGAATTTCTGGAAGATTGAAAAGTACCCATGATGGCCCCTGTGAATTCTAGCATCACGCGTCCCAAACAATTTACCTAGCGCTGGTTACAACTCCACTGCTTATGAGAAATCCTTTGGTTCAAGCTCTCAAACCGACAAGGGCTCTCCTTACACCCGCTACACATGAAAAAATGCGCCACATTAGAGTCATACACCTCAGCACGAAACCTCAGAGACATGATGACCGTCTGAGTCTGTCGTATAATTACTCACAATAAGGCTGCGATTTTGTTAAAAAAAGGCTTTGTGCGGCCAGGCCGTAAGGCGAGGCGCTTCCAGCAGTAGCAGGCGGGCGCAAGCGTCGGGGAAGGATAGGCTATCGATCTACGCGTGCGAGCGGCCACCGAGCGTACGCTACGTGGCGTCGCTAGGCGCAACGCTAGCGGTAGCGGACCCGGGCACGGAATACATAAGGTATCGAGTGAGGCGGCCACCAGCGTTTCAGCGGAGCGTTGTCAACTAGCGCTTGCAGCGGCAGGGCCCAGGAGGGCGAGAAGGGTAGGGGGAGTACGAAAATACGTCGTCCTACTTCTTCGTACTTTAGCGTAGGAGGCATTTGTACTCTCCTGCTTTTCGATACTCATCTAGGCGTAGAAGAACATTTATGTGCCTCTCCTACTTTCGATATTCTTCTCGCGTAGGCAGAAGCATTCTGTATAATTCTACTTCTTACTGCTACTCTCTAGCCCCGCCGCTGCAAAACGCGAGCGATAAACCAGGGCACATCGTTCGCTCGCGGCACATCCCAACCAGGGGGGGTCGTATTTGGCCGCCAGGAGAGGGGGGGGGGTCGTAGTGAGTGCGGCAGCCAGTAACGACCAGCGCAAATTGTCAATGTGCTGCTGAGTCCTGCTTACAACGAAACTTGCTTTGTAGAGAACTCGGATATGCAAAAAAGTACAAAACTTTCATTCATCAAACTAATCCGAAATAACTGCAAATATTAATAAGTCGACATCATCTCGTAGGTCCGTTGGTGACTAAACAGTACAAACAGTCAAACTCTGGTTGCCAATGATATGGCGTGTCCGCGGTCGCGCTTGGCGCTGAGCCAACCTGTTTTTTTCTCGACAAGCGACAGGACTACCATATCGTTCATATCAGACGTTTTCCAGCAGTTGGTCTCCTTTATCGGAGTCAGCGATTGGCGGAGCACGAATCTGGCAGCGTTGACAGGGACATGTTCCATCATACGCAACGGAAAACACTGTAAACAAAGTTGCCACGAGGCCTCGCCAATGGACCCCCCGAACCCAACAGAACACATTTGCTTTCGCACGGTGGACAGACAGATTACGCACGAGTGTGCACCATCCCATCACCTCTGCGCGGCCCTCAGTGCGGGCGCATCCAAAGTTGGCGTGATCGGCGCTAAACGAACCATATCCTGCTCCTGCTCCACCACAGGATACGTTCTACATGCGTTCCTGGCTATTCGAACACGCTCACTTGAAACGGTACACAGGAAACGGGTTTTTCGCGCAGCTGGGAGTGTTCCTCAAGAAATCCCCATAGCGAGATCTCATGAATCCCGAGAGCTTCAGAAACAGTTCAAGAGGTTTTTAGAAAGAGAAAATCTTCAAACACTCGGATCCGTTCTCAGATTTGTGAAATGTTGAGTTACAAAAAAATATATTGGTTCAAACCTGTTCAACTTAAACTTCAACCCTTCACTCCCCATGGAATCCCTATGGGCAGATTTCTCTGTGATTTTTGCGACCTTCATAAACGTTTCAGTACATTTAGGAAGTGCAATCCTTCCTCTACACGAATACGGTCTCCTCTTCCCCACAGGTCCGCTTTTGAGGAAGTTATGGTCCTTCAAAGACACCCTACTTTGCTGAAAATTCTCGCTCCATGGCTAAAATTGCCGAACGATCTGCGGTCACATCTGCAATTACATGCGCTTCTGCTACCGTACTCCAATAATCGGGGTAATGCATTTTTACGGCGGTTTGTATAACTGTTACGTAGTGAGACAAGCCTAACTCTCTTTTCCTCGTCCTCAATCTTGGGAATAGACGTTGTTAACACTGTGGTCGCTGATGGCCGCTCCCAGAGAGGGAGTTCACGTCAGGTTAACGAATGCTCATTGAATTTAATCGCGATATATTGTTATTATTACCATGTGTGTTTCAAAACGGCCATCGAAGAAGTTCATCATACGAGTTTCTCATAATACGATTGTACCGTTTTTTGTTTGCAATCATCTCTGTATTGTTCTATTATGTCATGACTTCAAGTCGTCCATTTAGTATGGGCACCTTCATACAAGTAGAATTTCATAGTGGGCGTTTCATAGTTTCATTTAAGGCGAAAAAAACCGAACGGCAAAAAAAGGGGGGGGGTCGTACCGAACCCCCAAAAAAAGGGGGGGGGGTCGTACAGGCTCGACCAAAATCCCCATCGAATGCTGTGCCCTGCTAGCCGAAAACGTATTTGAAACGCGAAGCGCTACGCTACGCTGCCGCAAAGTATGAACGCAGCCTAACACTGAAACTCAGAAAATATTCCTAAGCCGGCAAAAGAACGAGGAACAAATTAAGCTCCTCTTAGACCCATTGGAATTCAAAAAGGGGACTTAAGAACTCACGCACTCAATACGAAGCCTATATGGGAAGGTTCAGATTGCTGGTACCGCGGTTCTCTGCCTTGGTGTGGCAACGATTACTGACCGACGCAATCGAATTCCACCGTTTCTGCAGCCGGCTTTCATTGGATCACTCCTGGCCGTTATTGGAATGGCTTTCGCGCTAAATGCAGGTGAACAGATTATCTTAGCACATCAATTGGCTTTCAATCATATATGAACATATCCTCCCGGCAACCTCTCTACTAACACACGAAAACTACTACAGGTTACGCGATAAATCCTGCTCGTGATTTTGGTCCAAGACTCTTCACTCTTTGCGCTGGCTACGGTTGGAGAGTATTCAGGTAATTCTTGGCTCACTTCTTTATGCAGGTTGTGCAAAGACTGATATCTGGATCCACGACCGTTTTTCTCGCCTTCTGCTTTTCAATCTCCTACACAGGCCCTATCTTTTAACAGCTACCGCAGCTACAAGTGGTTTTGGATCCCGATCATCTGTCCAATGCTTGGAGCCCTTCTTGGAGCCTGGATCTACGAGTTCTTCATAGGATTCCACATTCCCGACGATCCAGACACCACCTACATTCACAAGGTGACCTTTCTCAGGTCTTTTGTAGTCTCTCTCCTATACAGATGGGTATCGAGGTACGCCTATGTAGTAGTAGCGGTCGTGTTGGTAGCGCTGCTCCACAATATATGAAGGTTTGAAGGCTAAAGCACGACTTCCTCAGCCAAATAAGAAACTGAAATTTGAAATACCAAGTT